GCAGCCCGTACCGAAAATTCTACCGCGCGCCCGGGGAGGCGAGGCCTTCGCCCCGCAGCCGAACCGTCCGTTCGTTCGCGATTTAACTTCTCGGCGGAAGGCGGGTCCAGCCACACTCGGGACGTCGTCAGATGCCGGTCCTCGGCTAGGGGTCCGTGTTGAGGCACGCTGCCGAATTCCGGTTCCCAACTCGTCTCCCTTGCGCACCGCGCCCGAGAAACTTGGAAGCCGACCTCCTGAGCTCTGCTGGACCTGCGACTCCAGATACAGACAGCGAGATGAAGGCAGGAAGGCACGCACAGCGTTACTCACTTCCTTAAAGGCAGCTCCGCGACGAGCTGACCAACTGCTGCTGCCCCTCAGCACGGCCAAACGCCTTCAGTGCGTCTCCAGCGTTTCAAAAATACTTAAACCTGCACAGCAGAGCAAGCATAGACAATTATAGCGTTAGTTCAGTGTCAACAGATACTCACATGCTGGTGTGCGAGCATATGAAACATACAACCGGTATTCGGCAGGACAAGAAAAATCTCTTCAACGACTCATGCAGTAAGACTTCATTAAAAAAACGCTCCACAGGCTGGTCTGAAATGGCAAGAAATACAAGGCAGCTGTACGCTGTCAAATAATCCAGCTAATTTATAACTTGAAAGCATCATTAAAAAAATAGTTTTTACTTTCACAAACTTTTCCCCCCATTTTTAAAAACGTTTTAAAAATGAAACTTCAAAAAAGTTTTAAAAATGAAACTTTCTGAAAAAAGTTTTAGTAAAAGCTATTTTTTAATGAAAACTTCTGTGGTATTTTTAATCATATACTGTATAAAAATGTGAATATTTTGCACCCTTCAAAAATCTGTAACTTTCTCAAAAAATACAGGTATCAGCTGGGAAATTAGAGTAATGCTCTCAAAAACAAATCTGGAGAGCATTTTTCAATGAGAATACTGCACCAAAACATGGTATTTTCAGAGTTTTACAGAAGGTGTGTCACTGGTGTGTTTACATGTGAGCCAGAGTAATTTCTAATTTCATAAATGGATTCGTTCTCTGGAACTAATGAAAACAGTGAAAAATGTTTTATTAAAATTCTCAGTCAGTGGATCTGACTAACTACAGGTAGCAATCTCCTGAGAAAGTAATTCCCACCTTTAGGCCCATTTTTAGAAGGAAAATTTTTTTACACATTTTCATTTTACTCCATGAAGTGGAAGTGCAAACAATAAAAACACTAGGATGAATGCAGTGAACAGATTTGCACCCTTATTTAAAATTGCAGCTGACCTAGAGTCAGAGTTGCAGCTATTTGATCCTTTGAAATTTTATGTAGAAAGGAAGAAGCAAGGAGTCTGACATGCAGTTCCTCTAAATAGAGCTCAGTTATTAGCCCTAGTATCAGCAGGACAGAGGCAAAAGTGGTGTGCCCAGGAAAAGATCCATGACATCATAAAATTAGGGGTTTTTTTAATCATGTAGAACAGCTATTCAAAAAATACTCTGCCAAGAACGTTTGCAGGCACTTACCTGGCAACTTGGATTTACACGAGGAGTTTCACTGCACGTGCCTGAAAAGTTTGACAGCTTCTCACCATAGTGAAAGTTGTGTTGATTCCTAAGTTTTCCTGGAAAATGAAACCCATGCCTGCTTGTAGTCCAACTGCAACCACTGCAGAGCCTTACTGAGGCCACAGCTGGATGTCTGAGCCTCGCCAGCACATCCACAGTAAAAGCAGTGATTCCAACAGGACCAGCTGCAGAGCTGCACGGATAAAGCAGTGAAAAATAAATTTAATTTGATTATAAGACTCGTTTTCACTTTTGAGCTACTTACGCACAGTTAAAGAACTATACCCTAAACAATGAATGAAAATCTAGGAACTCAGCAGGACTCTCACCTTCAGCTTCTATGATGCCTGTCAAGATTGCACGGCATTAGCCTGTCCCGAGTGCGCACGCACTGGAAATTTAGGCTTGGCTGTAGAACTGGCTGTACTTGAGCTATGAAATGCACCAGCTACAGCGTTAGAGGAGCAGAGCACTCGGGTCATGCAGCAAATGTCACTGCTTGTAATATCGAAACAAGCCCCCTGCACTACGAATGTCACAGCACAATCCTGAAATGATTCAGCCGCTCCGGGGGTTTCTCAGCAGCACGTTTTCCAACCCGCTCCTAGCCCTTAGCCTCCATGGTAAGGCTGCCAAGTTATTAATATATCTGTGCATTATAAGGATATCTAACTTCAGGAAAGGACCGCAGTCTGCAGTTTGTTCCATGGAGTGCACAGCTGGCCACTGGCCTACTGCCCTCCGAGATCCTTGGTAAGAGAAGACTATTTGGAGAAATACCTGTTTGATTAAAAGCGTTTAATTTGTCCGTTCCATCAGTCAGAGGCTCTATGTCTTAAAAGATGGGTTGGGGTACAAAACACAAGGCCTGTGCCTATTAAGAGGAAAATGCAAGTCAGAAATAAACCAAAAGGAGATGCATCAGATGCATGAAATTTTCTTCAGGAGAAAGCTTTTTGTATATGACTGAATGGCTCAGTCTTATACTTTAATACACAGATTTGAGAGTTCTTCCATTCTACAAAGTAACTTACCATCTAAAGTTGTCACATGACTTCGGCAAAGAAAGACTAAACTTAAGTAATGGTAGTATTTTAACATTCTTTCTAGTTACATCCTTTG